TAGAGCAGTGGTTCTCAACCTTCTGGCCCTTTAAATACAGTTCCTCATGTTGTGACCCAACCATAAAATTATTTTCGTTGCTACTTCATAACTGTAATGTTGCTACTGTTATGAATCGTCATGTAAATATCTGATATGCAGGATGGTCTTAGGCGACCTCTGTGAAAGGGTCGTTCAACTGCCAAAGGGTTCATGACCCACAGGTTAAGAACCACTGATTTAGTCAAACATTTAATTAACTCACCCCTAATGCCTTGGCAGGGCCAGACCAAATGAGTTCCTGGGCCTTAGACGTCGCTGCTCTAAGGTAAAACTGTGTTTACTAAAGCCTTGGTGTTTTTGAAAAACACTCTTTGATATGTAGTATGGTGCTAGTGACCAGGACAAGGAGTACTAAACCCCTCACTGTCTGCATGTAGGGGTAACTTGGCTTGGTGGACTAGGTGAAAAGATCAAGACCCAGGCTGTGGGGGCATCAGAGATCGAGTTAAAAAGAACAACAACATTAACAATCATTCACTGTGCCTCACTCCGTATATCTATGCTCGCATCCCGTCCTTGCGAGGAGCCGGTGAGGCATGGGTCCTTATTCTCCACTTTCTGGGTGGGTCAGCCACGCCAGGAGAAGTCAGCCCTTGCTTGGTGTTCCCGTTAGGAAGCGCGGGGACCTGAGCCCAGTTCGCTGCTTACAAAGCCCCAGCTTTCCCTCTCTCTCCAGGGAGTCATCGTGCCCCTTGTAAGTGGGCATTGTTCGTGCTTACTGAGCACCTGGTGAGAGGAAGGAGTGAACCTGTGAGCTTTTAGGAAGCGCTGGACTTGGGGGAAGGGGCATGGTTCGGAATTAGCCAGAATGGCTGAGTGACTGTGGCGGCCGGATTTGCAGTTAGAGCGGAAAAGGGGATTTCAGGAGGGCATGCTAGGTGGTATCTGCCTTGACTTTGAGCCAAACAGTTTAGGGTTTGTTATGATGGTTTGAGGGTTGAATGTTTGCTGTTGGGGAATAAAGAATAGTTATGATTAGAGAGGAAGGAAGGAAGGAAGGAAGGAAGGAAGGAAGAAAAAAAAAGAAAGAAGAAAGTAAAGAAAAGCAGAGAAGCCCCAGCTGGTTTGGCTCAGTGGATAGAGCGTTGGCCTGCAGACTGAAAGGTCCCAGGTTGATTCCAGTCAAGGGCACATGCCCGGGGTTGTGCTCTGGATCCCCAGTAGGGGGCGTGCAGGAGGCAGCCAATCAATGATTCTCTCTCATCATTGATGTTTCTATCTCTCTTTCCCTTGCCCTTCCTCTCTGAAATCAATAAAAAAATATTTTTTTTTAAAAAAAAAGAAAGAAAAGGAGAGAAAAGAAGAAAAAAACAGGCAGAAATCTAGATTAAAATGTCTACTCTGGTGAAACTATTGTTGGCTGTACTATTTTCATTCTAATTGAAGCCTATGCATAGAGGGCTAGGGACAAGCCCCAGACGGGAGAAAAATGTAGGCTTGGTCAAAGGGAAGAATGCTAGCCAGAGCTGTAGGTGTGGCTGTCAGCAGGGACTGCCAACGTTTTTAAGACTCTTGGTCCAAAGTGTTGGGTAGATGAAGAGAGAAGCATCAACAATTAATATGTCATGACTCACAAAATCCCACATATTTTACAAAGAGATTTCATTCCATATAGAATTTAGTTTGATTTTAACCTTAATTCTGTGAGGAAGCCTAGGCCATCTTAAGGCCAGTTCACAGTTTATGAAACTGGGTATTTAAATTGGACAAGGTCATGCGACAGGACAGTGGTAGAATGCATAACCCTTTTCAGGGAAGCATTATGTTATCCAATTCACCAACAAGAGATTCAAAGAAGTGAAGTCACTTGCCCGGGGCCCACAGCTACTGAGCGTCAAGGCCAGACTGGAACCCACATATCTGAATATATGTCACCAACTTCCAGTCACATACAAACCAGGTCTTCTGACTTCAGAGCTCCTTCTCCTCCGCAATCAACCCTGCGTCACGGGCTTCGAGCACAGATGAGCAGCCAGCCTGACACAGGCCACGCGCTCACGGGGCCCAGACGTGCTGTCCCGTGTGGGCAACACCTACCTGCACCAGCAGCTCCAGCCGCCTGTCGTCCAGGAGGTGCACCTGGCAGTGCCTGCCCTCTGTCATCTGTGGGAGAGACAGCACGAGCGGGGTCAGGCTGGGCTGGCAGGAAAGCCCCAGAGTGCGAGTCGTCACTTATTTCACATATGACGCCTCAGCCTGAAAATGGCTTCACTTGAGGAAATCAACAGGCGTCAGACACAGATTTATTACATGGCATCAGCACCTGGGTTTTTAAAAATTTAAATGTTTTTATTCTTTGATTTAAAAGAAGAATGAAAAACAGAGATGACTCAATATACTGGAAAAATAATGCCTATACATGTACACAAGATTTTATTATGAGAAGTAGGTTTCCTTCCCAGAGGAAACGACTATATTTTTATTTAAGTCAATGTTTTATTTTTCAAATGCAAATGGCTTTATTCATTGGCATGCTTTAATACATATAATACATGCATAATTATAAGAAAAACATGATTCTAAAGTTCAAATGGAAACCTTCCATTTTTGAAACTTCTGCCCCCTGTACAAGTCTATGGCTGCTATAATTAAGAACAGGTGAGATACACAGTTAAGAACTGTTTGATGTATAAATTTCCAATTATATTTAATTTTTATCACTTATAATTGCAATTCGGGGAAATCCTCTTTGTGAACTAGTTACTGATGCACAGAATGCAAAGATTCCCCTGGACTAGCGCCTGCTTCCCGCCACCGGACCTGCCAACTCGAGGAGAACCTCGCAGACCGACTGTATACGGACTTTGAGACATGCCCAGGTACATATTTTTAAAAAATTCATACGAAGTGTTTTTATTTAATATTACATATGACATATTATTCTGAAAATAAAGCAAATACTCATAGTATTTGTGTTTGTATGTGTGTGGGTCTGTGGTGTGTGTGTGTGTGTGTATATTTCCCCATTTTCAATTCAAATGCTATTTCTTGCAGATCTTTCCAATGTCAACACATACAGGCCAAGCTCATTCTTTTTAAAGGTTCTATGGTGTCAGCTATCGTGCGCACAGTAATTCCTGCTGAGAAACACGTCGCTCCCGCATTTCCTTATGACAAGGACGTCACCGTGAACTCTGCACATGCAGCTTTGCCCACACGTGTGTGCTGGCTGGGCCACTTGGAAGAGCGTGGGCAGCATTTGGTACACAACCCTGAGGTACACACAACCTGGTTTAAGAGAAACCAGCTCCATCCCAGGGCGCCAGCTGTGCCCATACCGTTCCTGGCGTTTCGCGTCCCCTCTGAGCTGCAAGCAACGACCCCGGCCGGGATGGTGCTGTTTATCCCACTTCACACAGGAGGAAACGGGGCTCGGAGTGGGACCAGCAGCCTGTCTGCAATGTGAACAACACCAACGACTGCACCTGCGTTTCTGACTGCGCTCTGCTCTGAGTGGGAACGTAGCCCAGCGGCAGACCGTGGCATTAGGGAGACAGGCCCGCAGCGGCGACCGGAGGCGTGCGAGGAGGTGACTGCGCCGGCCCTGACTCCGTCCTGAACTCTACAAAGCCAAGGCCAAACACACACGTTTGGTGGCAAGGGGAAAGGGAGCACATCTTTGTCCCAGGCACTAAGCTGTGCACTGCATACATGTCACCTCACAAAGCTCCACAAGTCTATGCTATGGCAATGTCCCATTTTACGGATAAGGAAAGCGAGTTTAAGGTAATTTATTCAAAGTTACCTGGACAAGAAAAGAGCCAAGCCAAGATTTACATTAAAGTCATCTTCTTTTCTACTTTAGCATGGGAGGAAATAAATAAATGTGTCAGTCATTTTATTTCTTTTGTAAAACCCACATAAGGAAACCAACTTCATGGCCTATAGAAAGATGTAATGAAATAAAACTCAAAAGATCAACTCACACAGTATGAATCCATTAAGGAACGTGTCAAAATATTTCACACCGCTCTGCTGTTGCATAGTCCAAACGAATTTCTGCCCTAATTTTACAAAGACATCTTTTTCCTTTCCATTTTGCTTTGGACCTCCCTCAGACTGGCCACTGCCTTTTTGTCAACACATAAACTCACCCTACAGAATTGGATGGTAAATGCTTTGGCATGTCTGCCCATCTGAGGACAAACACGGGCAGTGGCGGCCGTATCTGTACAACTTGGTCCTGCCCTTTGGCCTCAGTTGATTGGAGCAGGGACGCCCACCTGACCCAAGCTGGACCAATCAGAACCTCAGTCCAGGGAATCTGGAATGAAGTCGGAGGAGGTGACAATGTGGCTGCCGTGTGTGGAGGACAAGCAGCTCATCAGTGGCAGGAGGAGTCACACGGCTGGAGAGGCCAGCGGGCGAGAACTGCCGACTGCATCCCTAACCCTTGCCCGCACTTCTGGTCCCTTCCACTGGCCCGGGGGGGGGGGCGCGGATGTTGTCCCTGGGCTCCATGAAACACCCCTGTATTCCCTCAATCAGCCCACTTTTCCTCTCTCTCTTAAGCTGGCTTGAGTTGGATTCTGCTTCTTGCAACTAAAAGCCTCTTTATAAGATACCACAGGTGTCTACACCTAAACCAAGGCAAAGGTTTCCGAAGGATGGACTCCCGATGATGTCATTAATGTGGTAAAGTTGTCAACTCATAATGACTGAAGCTCCCACCAATGATAATACAACGGCTGGCATTTCGGGGGGAGAGGTTCTGAACAAACATCTCGCTGTGTGACGTGGTAAGACACACACGCTGGAGAAGGCAGAGCAGGTGACGGGGAGAAAAAGTGCTACTTTTATCCCCCGCCGCACGTCTGTCCGCATATCTGAGTGCAGTGTTCCCAGGCCCTTTCCTCTCTGTGAGGGAGGTCAGAGGGCAGTGTGGTCATCGCCAGCAACAGGAAGGCCTGCCCTTGTCACTAACCTGAAGGTGGAAAGGTGGTGGATGTATTCTGTTCATCAAGACATGGTTATGAATAACTTATAGTTGACAATACCGGAAATTAGGAGGTGCCACTTAATAAAGGTCCAGATGGCAAGCTCTGGAGAGACGGCTGGATTTCCTCCCTGGCAACATCTGGCCAGGGAAGGGCAGAGTGGCTCCCTCTCTAGATGAGTCTGTGGCTCGGGCTCACCCAACCTACTGCCTGCAGGATCCCGGGAGTCCCGACCTGTGAACAAGCACATCTGGTTCAAGTCCATGTGGCACCAGGGGAGAGACACAGCCAGCGGCCAGGAGGGTGTGTGCCGGAGGAGTGCTTGACACTTGGCCCTCATCCGGTGTAGCATTTCAACCTCGCAGAAGCCTGTGGAGGGGACAGCTCCTGCTAGTGACGAGGAGACTGAGGCCTGAGAAGTCATGCAACTTGCACAGGAGTTCTAAGCCAGACTGGACTCAAAACCATTTCATCCCTTAGTAGCCGTGGCACCTTGAGAAGCCTGTCCGAGCCTCAGAAGCAGGCTCCTGATCGCTTTCCATCGGACGCCCTGAGAATGCGGTGAGCTCCTTCTCAGGCCACTTCTATTATAGTCCTTATTTGCTGGGAAACTCACAAACAAACAGCTAAACCTTCCTGGAATCTACCTATTCTCCCATTAAAAAGAGCTTTTTAAAGGAAGGCTGTTACTAGCCCATTTTAAAGAAGATAAATGACAGGTAATGCTAACCAGTCAGTTAGCAAGCATGCGGCAGAACCGTTTCCCAGAGCCCAGGGGGCAGAAATAAAGACAGAGGGGGCGCTGGTTCCCGTGTGCCTCTGTGCCTGGCCCCCACCAGGCATTTTAGTAGCAACAGCCACAATAGCAGGGACAGGCACGCTCTCTGTCCCAGGTGCCGCACTGAGACTGAGCAGCAGCAGCACATCCAGTCCTCGTGCTGCTCGCATGAGGCAGGCAGTCTTAGTGCCAGTGTTACAGGTAAAGAACTGAGAGAGATCACACATAATGAGGTTCACAAACGGCAGAGCTAGACCCAAGCCCAGAGCCCCAGCTCTCCACACTCGCTGTACACACGGCGCTCAGCACCCTGCAGAGAGAGAGAGAGAGAGAGAGAGAGAGAGAGAGAGAGAG